CTTGATAACTCTGTAGTCAAGGTGTCTGCATGATGGATTTGTCAAGAATCTGCTCTGAAAAATAGATTTGGAAGGAACAGTGAGCTAAACCGATCCTCCAGCCTGAGCATCTCTGTAAAGACACACAAGTTTCACGCAGTAGTTGCTGTAACACGTTAGGATGAAGAGCGGAGGTGTAACTGTCCAGCTACATATTTTCCCTGGCTGCCACACAGCTCATTGACTTCCCTATGAAGAGAACCCACTTTACCATAAAAAACTAGTTAATTTTGGGCAAGTTAACCTTTGTGTCTCAGCCAAGTGCCAAGAACTGCAGCAGTGGCTAGCAATGTGATCACTTGTGAAATGAACTGAGTATCAGCACACATTTCACAGGGAACAGGTGTTGTCTTGACTATTGCCAGTAATTACTTAGTCATTAGATTGTTCATTTCTATCCTGTAAAGGCACTCAGAGTCCCCATCGATACAGACATATTACAAAAAGATGACAGCTCATTTCACAGGAATCACGATAAATTTTACTTTACTAAATAAATGTTTTCTCCTTTGCTTTGTACGTATGAGTTTCCTCAGACAGTAGAAGTACACCCTACATATCTAGCTTGCGTTACGGCACCTGTCACGATAGTTTGGAATATTTAACGTTACAGCCACTGGATCAAGAAAACAAACTCAGCTAGCAGCATGGACTCCATTTTTAATTCTCTGTAATTTATAAAGACAAAGATGGCATTAGCAAGCCAAGCCTTTAAGCCGAAGCATCTGCTCAGATACAGAAATAAATACGATTTGGCGGACACTTCTTATCCTATTTGTTATTAATGCTTAATCCAGCCAGAATTAATAACAATACATTTGTGCAACAGCTAATTCCAGAGTGAGGAACTCACCTATGCATAAAACTATCTTCTTTATGAAGCTCTTCATACAAAAAAACCTGAAACATTTTAATGTTCAGTTTCTGGAGAAGGCACTATGGCAGTTCCTGTAGAAATCGCAATTATGATGCTCTTCCTTTAAAGCTTTCTGATTACCACTGAAAAACACTTGCTCTACATTGATCATAAAGAAAAAATAATTAATTAATATAGAAATACTGCACATTTAAGGTTTCATTTATATTTAAAAAAATGAACACAGCACATTTCCTTAGAGGATAGAAAACTCCCTTCTGCAAACTGATTTTTTTAAATTGCATACAGTCGTACAGTTCTCTACAACACAAGAGTCACAATATTTAAAAACTTACAAATCATTTGGTACACACGTGCTTTGTATCCGTTTCCCCGCTATGGGAGCACATTAGGCTCTGCATGCGGTACTGTCCAGTTTAGCAAAGAACCATAAAGGTGGGAAGCTCATGGAAGGTGGAGTCCTTATTTCTGAGGAGACTATCACTTGGATGATCTTGTCCTGCTCCTGTATGTCAATTAACTGGAGGCAACTGCATGGAGTATGTAAATTGAATTGCTCAATGAAGTTGTGTGTAAGTCTGAATTAGGAAAATAAACACTCCTAGATCATCTGCAGTATCAGAGGATTGAGATACATCGGTTTCGCCACTTTTAGTAAAAGTCAGCATGAGTCACAGAAAGAAGTTTAGAAAAATGTAACTAGGATTAGAAATAACTGGGTTTGAGAGACTTGTATAGGGGTGGATTTTCATTATTATCCATTTATTTCCCGTATCAACCCCCCAGTTTAGCCCACCTGCAAACCACAGAAAAACAAAGAAAAGATATTGTGCCACAGAAAGGAAACAACTTTCATTTTTGAAGAAAGTATCTCTGAAGATCTTGTGAAGTAATAGGTTAAAAGAATCTAAGTAAAAAACTCAGATATTGTATCATGAATCTGACTAGTTAATATCGGAGATTATTCAAGGGCATTGTCTAGAAAATAAAAGTGGATTTCAACCATAAAACAAAGCATATGACAACCAAAATCCTCCTGTATGCAATTTTGTACATTTGTACATTGCATCTTGAGATTCGTACTATGCAAAAAAACGGTGCTGTGGCTTTTTTCTTCCCCCCCCCCACAATGAATGGGCTTCTTGTTCTAATGCTCTTCAGAACAGTTTTGGTAGTAGACTTTTATCTACCTACCTTTACCTTTTACCTTTTCAGGAATTAGTTCTTTAAAAACATTTCCTTTACTAAGAATAAGCATAGAGAGCACCACCATTAACACCCAAACTCCATAAGCTTAACGGTACCCGAAGCTACAGCAAAGCAGCGAGAAAGTGATGACAACCAGCAGCCTGTAACATAAAAAGGGGCAAGAAGTACTGGCCATTTCTATGTAAAAGATTTCTTGGCTCTTTGCTCTGTAAGAAACCACTTTTTAAAATAAAAAAAAAATTTAAAAGCATCACACAGCACATTAGACCAACACCACAAACCTTCCCTTTCCAGAGGTTAAGTACCTGACAGACAGTGCAGCCAGTTCTTCTCTGAGAAGCTACAAAACCAGAATCACTCAACTAATCAGTTTAAGGACATGTAAATATTAAATTTGGTACTTACGACTTCTTTTACAAATTGAGGTAGACACTGCAGGAATTTGCATCTGTAAAATACTAGGACAAGTTTCAAGTGGAATATTTATTTAAATAAGAAAAAGCGTGCCACTGTTACTAACTGGTACGATGATGATATGGACCACAGGGATAACTGGTATTGTTTACGCGCCATTTACTAACTCTTCCCCTTTTCTGTACTGATGGCTGCTGCTATAATGCTCCTGTAAAATGAACTGTGAAGTAGAAGTGTCAAAGTGCCTCCAAATAAAAGCTGAATAATCTATGAGAAGTTACTTTATTTCATTTTTTTTAAATATACATATACAAGATATTTTATTTCAAAAGCACAAGAACATTATACAAGTTTCAAATTTACATTTTTGCAATTAAAGATACCAATATGTGCATTATCAAATAACTTCTGTCAGCTTGGATGGAACAGAAATCAGTGGTGTAAGCATCTTGCAATCACTAAATACAGATTATACTCACAGTGAACAAAACTGCATAGTAATTTATGAAATGAAAGATGACCATGCTAGTCAGTGAATGATATGGGAGCCCATTTGCTAAATTAGTATGTGCAAACATACAGAAAGATGCAACTTTCCTCTCCCACTTCTTCAGCTACAAAAAGATTTCTAGAGCTTTAAACACAAGCTCACCTGCTCAGACCAGCTCCTGTCCTTATATACTACAGTTCAGACAGAAAACAAAATAAACTGATCTCACTGCATATTTGATAATGGAATTTTTGTATCAGTGAAGTGCAAGGTAACTGAAAGTTTTTGATAAAGGAATAGGTAAATATCAGAGGGAAACAGCAAGTGAACACAGTTTTGCTATCAACGAGGCATACATTTGCTAGTCTTCATCCAATGTTTTTGTTGGTAAGAAGTGTTTTGATGACCTTAGAAATTGCCAGTGCATGCAAGTTTTCATGACAACTGTTCTTCTAAATTCAGTATGCATTTGAAAAACATTTTAGAGAAGACTAACAGAATTAAGGTTTGTCTTTAAAGAGTTTCATGTTCAGGTTTTAAAAGTCTGAAAGAAGCAAAATAAGGAGAATGGTCTTAACTGCAAGAAACAGAATACCTGAAAAATACACCAAATAAAGAGTATTGCAAAAGTTATAAAAAAGTATTTGAAGTCAGAACAATATTTGAGTTCATTGATATTACATTTTTAGATGTGTTATGGTGCTGTTCAGTGCACTCACACGTACTCTAAAAACTTTAAAAAACTAGGAGAACAATGATATTTAAATCTAAATCATTTGTGATTCTACTATCTCTCATACAATCAGTAGCAAAATAAACAAACCAAAAAACCAAAAACAAATCATACAAAAACACGCTCTCAGACATTAATTTGAAAGCCTCCCCTTGCAGGCCTTATTAAAATGACACAAAAGAATCCAAACAGCAAAGGGGCGGGGAAATTTAGACTAATGACAACTTCAAACTTTTGCACAGAAATGGGCTTTCCTGGGAAAGCCTTTTTACCTATCACATTACAAATTCTTTCACATGTATTATGGTTGAAATTCAGAAAACAGAACAACAAACATTTAGAACTGAAGGACAGTCACGTATCGAGAGAGAGTTCAATCACAATGTGCTATTAACTACTTAAGGACAAAGACAGACGTTGACACCTTTTTTTCCCTTTTCTGCTATAACCGGCACTGAACCACTGAACACACCCCTCAAAACACACAATTTCATTTATGCAGGCAGGGCTCCAAACAAGAGTGACAGAGGATGAAGAGTGGAAAATCCCTCAAATATGGGCAAAACCCCCCTTATTTCTGATTCTAAAACTTGCTGCTTTTGGGCCTTGATTTTAGTCCAGTGATAGCTTTGAAGGTCTTCTACTTTACTGAAGTCTCTGGCTCTTGTATAACTTGCAGAGCTACACTACAACTACCTAACAGTACTTTCACATTTGGTTCTCGGGGAAAATCTCAGAAGACAAACTGTAAAAGAAGTAAAACTAGCCAAATGGTGTAGCCCTAGACCTCTTAGGATACACAACATTAATAGAGGACAAATTCATTAGATAAAGTGCAGTTCTGGCAATGCAAAAAGCATGGACTTTATTTTTTGATGCAACAAGCAAGATGGTAACTCCTCCATGCACTTTCTATCCCACACTTCTCCTTTAAAGAGTTCATTAATTAAAAACTCCTCATTAAATCCCATGATATAGCTGAATGCAGGCTTTTTCTGTACAACTTAATGTTTGCTGTACCTGTTGCTACAGATTACTAAAGGCCTGACACCACTTGCACTCCAATATTATGCCACAGATCTTGACCTATTTAAAAGCTTCACTAAGCTTGGGAAAAGAACCTAGGAGGAAAGTAAAGGAAGCTTTTCCATAGCAACACCATTTAGGTATAATCTCAAGACATGGAAGGGACAGAAACGTGGTATGTGCCCTCAAGCACAGCATTTGGGAAGCTGTCCTCGTCAAAACATGTGAAACAATTACAACTTCTCCAAAAAAAAAAAAGTGGAAATATTTCTGGACCTGAATGTTCAGTAATAATCATATAATGTGGGTTTCCTTTTGAGGGGGGAAAAAGCCAAAAGAGCAAAACATATGTCATAGGATTCTATTTCAATGTCTCAGTAATACATCCAACCTAGAGAATCCATCATGTCCGAACTACAGAATCCACTTGAGAGCAGATTATTTACGGCCACCCTCCTTTCCTTTTCCAAAGGACTGCCAAAGAGAAGAGTTTTCACTAAAACTCAAGAGACTCAGAGCAGTTGCCAGTTGAATCCAAAGAAGATCTGATTCGTTTCTTGGCTCCTGGCAATCTGCTCTATGATGCAGTGTTGCTGCCATAGCAGATGGAGCTTCCGGTAACGCTCCTGACATAAATGCAGGGGATTGCCTCTTCTTCATAGAAGGAAAAAAGGAGAATACCCAATAAGCATATCAGAATAGCAACTCACAAACTGTTCCATTAATAGCTAGCATTAACATTCTTAACAATAGCCAGAAAAATATTAAATACTTTTATGAATACCAAATCTAACAAGTCTACTGGAAATGAAAAAAATTCCACGTGCGACAAGCAACAACTGCCATTTCCAAGATGACATCGCAGCACTGGCAGTTGTTGCGCATTTCTGATGCAAAGCACACAAAGTATTCTTGAGAAAAGTAAGAAAGTTTAACAGTACCAAAAAAGTGTATTTTTCCATTACGAATGACCCATGCACAACTGGAAGATGCCATCAGGACTTTGAGGTTTCAGGCCAAGACACATATGACGGTGCTGTACATGCTAGCAGAAGAACATGTTGTCTAATGGGTATAAGAAAGAAAGACATACCAAAATGGGAATGTAGAAAGTCAGTCAAACATTCACTTACTTCAGACCTGGATCTGTTTCTCCATATTCATCCAAGTAGGGAGCAGGATATAAGCAGCCCCTGGTTTTACCTTCAATGAGGACAACTTTGCATTCCCTGATTCTTAAGGAAAAAATAGCTACATTTAAAATACAAGACAACTCCCAGCAAGTTCTTAACTTTTTGGTGAGCTATATTTTAGGTCAAAGCAATGTTTCTTTGTCTCAGACAAAAAGAATGAAGTGCTTTGACAATGTTATGAAATTTGACCTTCAAATACTTCCCTTTACTCTTTACCACAATGAATTCTAGCTAGCTACTTACTTGAGAAACATACAGACTCCAGCTCCACATTGAAGAGCATGAGAAGTACAGGCTCCCAACTCCTCCCCGTTCACCAGTTCCTGACAGCAAGTATTCTGGGAACACAACATAGCCCCACAGAATAAACACAATACTGGATGTTTTTGTTCATCATCAGAAGACCGCGGGCATCTAAAAGAAGTGTAACCAGAAGTTATTGCAGGAATTAAACTTTAAAAGAAATGTTAACTATGGATAATGTTCCTTAAGAAACAATAACAACAAAAACCCAAACAAGACCCCAATCCACAAACAGACAAAAAACCTAAGACATACTATGCCATAACCGTATTTCATGTATTTGCTTCCTCTGGCTATATTTTTACATTGCTTGAAATATTTTATCTGCAAGATATCTGCTTTGAGCAGGAGGTTGGACTAGATGGATCTGCTGAAGTCTGCTAACCTGAATTATCCTATGATTCACTCTTCCTGGCATAAACCAGTGCCAACCGTCTGGGCTTTTTGTGTCCAGTGCAAAAATAATTTTCAGGCTTATGGCCCAACCAAATACACATTGCACTAGTGAAAAATGACCAGAAGATTAAGCTATAATACTTTTATAGGCTATCCTATCAGACGCAAGTGACTTATTTAGCAAGCTATTGTGTTTCAGACTTAAAATGAACATGTGCAAGTATTGGACAGTATAACCATACCAGTGCCTTCACTTCTGAAAAATAATTTCTGTACACAGTTTCAACACCAGTTACAGTAACTGCAAGAACACAAAAGTGACAAAACACCTGGGAAGGCAACCTAATGTGTCACGTCTTACCTAAATTGAGAGGCTTGGTTCAGAAGGCAGCTATAGTCTTCAGGAAGCTCTATTAAACTATTTCTTTTCCTAGGGTACCTGGGTAAGTGAAAAGGAACTATAATGAGAATAACAAAAATCACAGCAAAGAACAGAATAGATAGCTATAAATTGTGATCCTACTAAGCTTTTGGTCCTTTCTGCAAGCTTCTGCAGTTCTAGAGGAACTCTTCAGTCCTAGGAGCCCAAGTGAGAGGCTCCACAGGAGAGCTTTGGCATTTCTATATTCCAGCATAGGTCACGAAACTAAATTTCATATGTAACATATATGTATGAAGATATTTCATATTTTAGTTAGCATTTGTTTTTTCCTAGAATAAGCTACATAACTTGTCTAATGGAATGTTGTACATTCTCCATGAAGAGTCACTGCATGAGGAATAATACAAAACCATTTAAGAGAGAAATGTACTTTTGGTAGCAGAGCAAGAGGAAGAAAATATAAGCACTCTCTAACTTGCCCACAACAAGCAGTTCATTCTTTCAACAGTTTGAAGTAAAAAATAGAAGAAAAAAACTAACAAACTAACCTTATTGCAATGCTTTTCCCCTTTAAACAACTTAACACCACAGGGTCAGCACACCATCTATTTCAAACGAACATTTGGAGAAGTTAGTGCTTGATAATAATACATATTCAAGATCACTAAACTAGTAAGCAACAACAAAACACAAAGCACAGATAAAGCATTAATAGTTCTAGCTAAAACTTCACAAGAAGCAGCAACTATTCTTCACAGGTTTGTTTCAGGAAAAGAACTTAAGTGTGTATACAAGAGAAAAATCTACGTGAAAAACAACAACACTTAAAACCAGTGCATATGAAGACAGTGTTAACACAGAGTTAAAAACCACAAGCAGTCTGCAGACATATTGGAGTTCTCAAAGTAAAGTGGGCTACAATACACAACTCATTTTGGAATATATCTGCTCAAAGCCACAGCGAAAGAAAATACACATTCTACTAGGAAAATATTTATTGCTTTAATAATCATTACCCAGTGTTTATTTTACAATGCTTTATTGCATGCTGTATGCTTGCTTAGAATAGCCAAACATGCCCACCAATATCTACCACCAGTGGTAGATATTGGCAAGTTACTAAACAGAGGAATTGGTCTTAGTAAGATATCTTTTAAGTTATTTCTACAAAGAGGAGGCGGAGGGAGAAAAAACTGCAGCAGATGGTCAATCTAGTATGCTTCATTTAACACGCTTCTCAACAACCATCAAATTTAGTCTTCTGAAATAAGATTATTTCAAAAAACATATGGGAACTTGCATGATGGTTTGACAACTGTTACTATTACATTAAATATGTAGTCTCCCACTTGAAACATGTGTTTTTGACTGGGAGCACTATGATGGATATTTTAGCCCTGCCTTCAGGGTTCACAAGCCCCTATGCTCTGTGTTCTCTTATAAGCACTGTGATGTCTTTGAGCAAACATGTAGGAATGCATAATAATAATAGCATTAAATAAGTTTATCTACGTAATTATATATACTGCAAATGCAATCAATTATAGTAAAATTATATGTAGGTAATTGTTTAGGTCAGCTATATGGACTGTAAATTGGTGTCAACAGCTCAAATGTCACCTAAATTAAAGGAATTTAGACAACAAAACAGACCAGAAGCAAAAAACAAACAAACAAACCCCGTAAAAAGACCAGAAAAAAGCTAACATGAGCCAGAAAACTCTGTCTAGACCCAGGAATAACAATGCAACCATGTGCTCAAACCATCACCTTAATCTATGGAGACATTCTCCAACAAAATATAGTAGGATTGTTCTCAGAGTTGGAGGGAGGGGGTGTTTATTTTAACTTGTATTTTTGAATGGAAAATTTTACCAATTATTTCTTTACTGCTAGATCAAAAGGTACATAATACTCAAGCTGTACCTTTCAACCATTAAGCTAACTTCTACATTCACTGGGCTATTTTGGAAATCCATGGAAGAAATAGTCCAAAGCTTCACCCTGCCAGCTATGTAATTTTTCATATTCTCATATTGTAGCTCGTGTAATCAACACTTTTGCTGTAGACAGATTAAAAAACAGGCCAATGAACAGTAAGTGACATAGCATGCAAGAAAAAGTTTATACATAACTTTTATCCACATAAATGATTCCATGCAAGTCTGCAAGCACTAGTCCCTTAAACTATAATTGTTTTATGTTTGGATGACTATAAGAAAGAGAATGTTTTATGGTTTTGAAGTGCTTTAAGAGTTTCAATATACCTGTGCACATCAAACAAATGTTTAGAACTCTAGTATGAATTTGAGCTCAATCATTTATTAATAAATTTGATCCAGAATTCCAATAGGGCCATCACAACAGAAAAATGTGACCTGTCCATTCCCAATTAGTACCTTTGAAGCAATGGATTTACTGTGTCCCAATATTCCTGGAAGAGCAGGAACAAATTGGTAGGTAGAGAGAGATAACTACAAAGTGCCTTGAACTGTCCTTCTTCAGAAACTGCAAAAGAAAGAGAAAACATGAGCAACTGTTAAAATGTCTCAGCACTGCTCAGTAATTCACTCAAAACTAGAATTCTCCTGATCCCTTTTCGATTGAATAATATGCATCTTACAGCTTCAGCATAGCTCCTAGCTAGTACTATTGGATGTAACTCCACTGACTTATCAAAGCTGTAATCATTTTCATTAGCTGAGGATCTACTTTAGGTTTAATAATATAAAATATGTCAAATTTGTTAATTTGTCATGCATAAGTCTCTGTAAAAACAGAATTCCTTGCTTAAATTTCTACCACACTAATGGTAAGGACAACAGCATATCCCAAAGTGCTGAGATTTTGACTTGTATTTTCTAATCAAATTCAAACTTAGCTCACAGTTTATATAAATTAAGACACCATGTTTTGTCTCAGTCGTGCATAGTCCTCCTTTCCAAATAGTTGATGATTCTGTGTTTTACTGCGTTTTGACAGAAGACAAAATACTTATTTTGGGGTTTAGTATCTGTAATGTGTCAGGATCCTTTAAGGAAGAGGTTTAGGTTTTATAACACACTTTATTTCTACTAGGCTCTGTTTTGCTGTATCCCTGGGTTTACCATTTGTCAACAATAGCAACTGCACAAAAAGGTTTTGTTTTTTTAAAATATACTCATGGGTATTTCTCAGGTGATGTACTCTATGCCCCTAGAATTATCCTTGAAATCACAGAATCTTTATATCCATAAATACTTACTATGAATACATCATTGATAATTCACAATCCGCACATACTGAGAAGTAACTCTTTCCTATGCAAAGAAGGCCCAGACAACTCAACCTCCCGTCCCTGCCCTGTCCTATATAAATGAGTATTTCTTTTCTTTCGAAGTCTTACTTCAATGTATTAACTATTAAGTTACTGTGAACATTAACTCCAGCCTTCCAAGAAAAGAGTAAACGTCAATATATAGATACATTTGCTTTCTCATCTTTACCTTGTAGTAGCTCCTCAGGTGGAGAAACTCCCAGCAAATAATGAAAAAATAAAGCAGCACAACGAAGGTAAGGCATGATGCCTTTTTTAACACAATCCCACACAAGCCAGCCTGGAATATCCTGACTAAAGCAACTGTAACACACAAATGAGAAATAGCTGCAGTAATTCACAGTGCAAAATCTTCTAGCACTTTCAAATTCTGACTAGTATTGGTAGAATAGCAGCTGTGCAGCAGCAACACCAATATACCCCAAATTCTGTGAAACACAGCCACCAGCACCTGACTTCCAACCTTCCCTAAGGAATAAGTACTGAGCTTATACAGAACACTTAAATTAAGACTTCTAATTATCTCAACTTACATTTTTCAGAATTATAAGAAAAACCACATAGCCAATAAATAGCTGTCCATCTCTAGGCAACTCAAGATAACCTGATTTAAACTGTGCAATACAGCACCACACATAGAGCAACTGATTCTTACACTTTGTTTTTTATTACCGAAAGCCAGCATTTTTTTGAAATGGTGACAGTTTTTCCTTCAGTCGGTGTTCTGAATGCAATTCAAAAATGAAACACCCCCAAACATCAATATTCTTCAAGAACAACAAAACCAACAGAATTTAAAAATTATTACCTCATACTTCATTATGGAAGTCACAACATTAACACTCATTGTTTTAATAAAGCTATAACAAATCCATTTTTGACAAAAAAATACCAGTGATAATAATCTCAGTAATTATTCTTGTAGTTCATGCTCTGTGAGCATTTAGTCTAAATTTCATAGTAAATTTAACTTATCTACAGTGTCCCTGTTTCCTAAAAAATTTAAACTGACGTTAATTTCACAAGTGAACAGGATGTTCACACAAGTGTTGACCAGGACACACAGTGGAATGACCTGTAAAGCTGTATTATAACATCATAGACCATTACAAAATTATTACACAGATTGTGCTGTTTAAGCACAGATCGGCCAGAGTTAGAAGGCAATGTATACACAGAAATTAAAACACTAAAAGTTTCAGAGCTGGGTTGCCTAGTCTTTGGCATTTAGTTCTGTAGATAGGCATCTCAGTACAGGGAGCTGATCTTCCAAAATGCACAGCAACTCTGATTCAAAGCTCAGGCCTCAGAAAAATTACTCCTACTATTTACACACCAAAATTTTAAGTGTTTAGAAATTTAGATTTAAAACTTTTAGACAAGTGGATAGCATTGGCATATCTTTGCATCTAGCCTTGGTGAAGATAAATCAAAGCAAAATTTGTAGAGGGTACATCCCTATTTTCTAGCTTATTTCACACACAGGTACTGAAATACTAAAGGGTCTGTAGTTATACCTATCAAAAAAGAATGGGCACTAATGCTCAAACAAATAAGCAATTGTGTTTAGCTTTACACTTTTTCCCCTTTTATAGTAGAACCATTTCCTTCTTTCTGGCTTCCATCTATAATTGTGAGATGTAAAAAAGGCAATCAAGGCAAAGAAAAAAATAGTCTAGTTAGTGATTGTATTTCTCTCCAGAATGGATACAGGCATTTTTCATCCTTAGACTAAGATTTTACTCTGTCTACAAAAAGCTATTTAGCTATTTTAACTAAAAGTGTCCTTTCACCAGTTTCCTTTTTTCAGTGTTCAGGAGCATGGGAAGAAAGCACAAGGCTTTGTGCTAACTCCCCATACAAAATGGATACGTTTTTTCCTGTTTTCTGTGTCGTTCAGGTCAATCCCTGTGGATTGACATCTTTCTAGGAAAACGCAATGCTGTAACTGAACTGCTACTTACCCGCTGGTGTACTGGCAAACCTCTCTGCAGAAAGACTGTGCAGAGCATGCCTCCTCACTGTTGTCATATGATTGAGCAGTAGGGGATTCTGCACACAAAAAGATGAATCCCACTGTAAATGCACTTCATTTGTGACACAATTCTCTTTTTATATATAGTGCGCTCTTTTTAGAAAAATTGCATTACATAAATATTTCCACTTTATTTTGCTTAATTATTTTCTATTTGCTAGTTTTAACTTAACAAATGTTCTCCTAAAACTCCATGTTGTAAAGAAGAATCAAGATTACTGCCTCATTGTTCATCCTCCTGTAAAAACTGCTTCCTTCCCTTGAACTTTTGAAGTTATTGTCCTATATAGATTAAACTACAGGATTTTTATTTTTTTCTTCTTAACTCCCATCATGCTGAAAGAAAAAGGAAAGTAGTAGCTAGGAAGCCTGACAGTTTTTAACAGTAGTATGAAATACAGAGAAAAGTGAACTTCTCTCCTATCAGTTTACAGGATTCTGTATTTCAGCTCTGGGTATTTACTAGGTTGAAGGGTAAAGAAAAGTTTATTTCCCAAATCCATACTGTCACTGTACAGGTCAGAGTGCTGCTGCTGGGCCGAGCTTTGCTTCTCTTACAAAGTGTGAAGAGGGGAAAGTTACTGCTCTTGAATGACTGACTTGATCAAGTACTGATATATCAATAACTACTTTGTTTTCTTAGGCTAAGCACAGAGAAGTGATATAATAAAATGCTCTGAAAATAATGTAGTGCTATTTATTTTTCACTAGAAAACAACTATTACTACCTAGCACTGAGTGTCATTTATTATGAGGAAGTTTATACCTGAAAGACACTAATGGTGTCCATCCATTATTTTTAAGAAATTGTGTAAAAATGCCAGAATAATCCACCCCAAATATACCTCTATCTGTTGCTGAAGAGATGACAATTTGTGTTATGTGTGCCAGTGTTGTCAGATGGAAGAGGTAGAGGTGGTTATAGGCTGAACTAGTTGATGAAGGTTGCAAGTCTACAGCATCGTCCCAGTATAAAGATGAAAATGATAACACAACTCCCACCTGCAGTGAAAGGGAAGGAATTACTATTAAAGTAACAGAAATTTGGTACTAGCTACATGGGTAATAGAAATTATATTTTCATGCTGCATTTAAATTTCATTTCTGTAGTCAATTTAAGTATGTTCATTTATCTTGCTAGTTTTACTTCACAAAGTGTTGCAAAAATTCATTGGAAAATATTAACCATTTGCATCCCTCCAGCACGTAGGAAACTCAGATATAGTTCCATTGTAATTGCCAGTTTAGGGATATGCCAAGAAAGCTTATCGAGTTCCTAGAAAGCTTAATTTCTGTTTTTTGACATTATACAAAGCACACTGAAAAAAGTGAGAAGAGAGACCAAGCATTAGTTAGAAAGGCAACCAGATCAAAACAGGTTTTATTTTGGTGGGTTTGGTTTTCTGTTTGTTTGCTTCTTGTTGGCTTTTTTGATGTTTTTTTAACAGTGGAAGAAACTAGAACACAGATTTGTATTAAGAACAAAAAGAAGAGGCTAAGAGGAAGAGTGAAGAGGACAGAGTGAACATGAAGGAATCAGAAGATACAAGATGACTGGAGACAAGGGAAAGTGAGGGAAACAAGCTGAATGGGTACATTTCTCAGTGGGGTTTTTTTTGAGGTTTGATAGCAATGGAGGTGGTAAAAAGACGATTGAGCTTGCAAGCATGAAATTTAATAAAAGTGAGACAGCAAAGACTTGAAAGCTAGAAAAACAGCATAACAGTAATGCCTGTATATAGCGGCCATATGTAATCACTTGTTTGCATGCAGTGCTCATGTACAATCATTTGACTCATGCAAGTGAACATATAATGCAGGACTATCAACAGGGTAAAGTACACAAAAACCTGTGCTCAAAAAAAAAAGCATTAATATTAACCTACTTACCAAAATGTGGAACATATCTACTTCTAAGAGGGATGGAGTGTCCTCCACTTTAAAGTTTGGTAGAAGAACTACAAAATAAAGATATCAATTATGCATTTGATATGTGTTTTCTTCTTCTGCAATATCAGAATCTGATTTTAGAGCCTCTATCATTTGTGTGTTTTCATCAAAAAAAAAAAGTCCAATTCTCTGAACTAAGGAAGCATTTATTTAACTTACTGCTTACCACTTATGCAATTGATTGTGCATCTGTTTTGCTATTCCCACATGCCCAATCAGCTCACAATTTTAATGACTATATCTTCAAAATTCTAAGATAAAAATCTTTGGTTTATTTCTCCAGCTCTAATAAAGCACACACAGTGTGTTAAGGGTAAAGTCCACAAATGTACTTAGGCACTGCAACACTAGATGCCTCACAACCCAGCCCAGTACAAAAGCCTGTACCACACCCAAGAATACCTATGGAATAGAAAGCAAGTCAAAGAGTGGAATTCACAAAGACCACCATGCCAACCTAATCAGTAAAAAACATGAAGGATAGCTACGTGTTTCAAACTGGCTCTCCCTGGGACTAAAATATCTTCAACTAGGCTGCAAGTAGCCTTCTGAAAGTACTAAAAAGATGAAGTGTCACAATTCAGGGAGAGGAATACCTGTTTTGTGGCTTTATCCATGTGTTTAGCACTCAGAATTTGAGTAATTTTGAACATTGCCAAAACCAGATTGTTCACCATCTGTAAACATTCCAGATCTGAGTATCTCCAGGGCGTGGTAGTTTGGGATAGAGGATTTTGGGGGGACTTCAGTGAAACAGGGCTGGGTTAACAGAATTATTGATTACTTAAGTTCAAGCAATACTCCATGATGAAAGGCAACATTAGGGAAATTGAAGTTAGCACTGTTGTCAGTAGTCTAACCTTTGCTTCCATGTTGTATTAATGTGTGTGCCATTTTGCAATAGAAACCTCTGCAATATGAAAAGGTACTAAAGAAAAGGAATACAATACCTCCTAGAAGACGAATCAGATGTTTCTGAATCAGGACCTGTGGTGATGTTGTTCTCTGAGCAGCTGCAAACTGCACTAATGCTTTAAGGCCACTGTGCTAGAGCGCAAGAGAAAATGGTTGGACAGGAAAAAAAGAAAAGATATAATAGTGAAATAAAGCTGTAAAAACATCTACATACAGAAAACACATTGATAAGTGAATTTAACATGAACTTCCATGTATAAGTAGAAGCATTATTCTTCCAGAATCCTCTTTATGTTATCAATCTAAAGATTTTGAGAGCACAGAATGATCTTGATGTTAGCAGTTTTAACAGTAAGTTTATCTCTGTGTGTATATACATATAAAAAAAAACCCCCTTTTTTGTTTAAAAAGTATCGCATATCTTACTTGTCCATACCTGTCTATTTTGTAGAGATCCAAATAAAGGCTTGCCCTCTGTTTCCAAGAGGTTTTCTTAAAATTAAACACAGAAAAAATTAAGTTGCTTTGTTCTACAGAAATCAACACAACATTTCTGTTAGAATACATTTAATCCAAGATTAATTTATTCTTAGTGTAAGTACTACTTTTTAAAGCTCAACTTTATTCTGATAACCCTCTTGAAAAATCTAGCTTAAATGACACTGAATGTTTCCCAGATAGATGGTCATAACGAGCTTTTTAAAAACATTTGGTTTTCAGATCTTGCTGACAAGGGATTTAAAGAAAAATTTTTACATGAACAATTATAAGATATTCATGTTTATTACACAAACGTCTTGGTGTATATAGTACAGAAATGAAGTGAGATTGACTGCTAAACAGGCACACTAGCCCAAAAAATGCAGTCATTTTTATTGTAATTATTTTGCCTTCAAAAAGAGACTCATGCTAGAGAATGTTTGGGTTGGTGTTTTTTTTGTTTTGTTTTGTTTTTCTACCAGGTATCTGCTTAGCAATTTCAGACTACAAAAGACCATATTTCTTCTAGAAATTCCATGAGAATTCTTCAAGAATAGAGACAAAAAGAAATAATGAGAGATGGAGTAATATTTCATAATGTTAGATCTTTAGCTGTATAGGAGATGCCTGCAGGTCAATGATCTTTGGCAGCCTGCAGATATTCATTGAATGTATTTAATGTTACAATTAGGAACGTGGAACATAATCACTCCCTGCTCTCTCAGACTAAATTCAATGTTGGCATTCCACACCTTATTTTATAAGCTACCAAATAACAAAAACTTCCTATTATTTCTATTTGATGATAGATTATGATTCTATTGTTAGACATGTAATTACATATAATATATATTGTTATACTATTACAGATTGCTAATTATGTAGAACTATTATTATTATTTTTACAATCAGATTGTATAAAATTATACAATCAAGCAACGGTAAGATTTTCAAGTCATGAGAAGGAATAAACACAAATTATGCTTTACCTATACACTGGATGGTAAAAGCACAGGTGCTCCAGGTCATCATAGGAATCCTGTAATCAGCTTCATTTGGAGCAACTTTTAATCCAACTCTATAAATGGTGGTGGCAAAGAGAATAAGCATCTCCTTGATACTGCTTGAGTATTTGACTCTGCAAAACCAAGCCAAGATAATTTCAATCTGAATTATTAATAGTGCTTATTACTCACTGGTCAATCAATCACTAATAAAGTCTAGTTATTTACGAAAGAATTCTTGAATACAAAGGCCCTTTGTCTGTACAGAGGAGAAAAAAAAAATTACAAGTTTCCAGTAGTAAAGAAGTACCTTGAGATAACAGGCTCTACAAATTGAGAGATTAGGAGCTGTCAGGCTGGAAGGAATCTATTTCAAAGTCATACACAGAACTTTGTAACAGAAATACATGACGTGACATTCACATTAACTCCAAATCTCTACAGCCAAAACAACTGTACCACGAAGTTTGGGGGTTAACCAGCTCATACTTAAATACCACACTGTTTAAGAGCAAACTATAGAATCTTTTCCATATAGAGATGAGTTATCAAGACAGATTTTAATTCAACTTTCTGATGACATTTTTTACAAATAGCAGATACGTATAAGTACTTTGCGTAACTATGATGTCAGTCAGAAGTAGTAGAAGTAGAATACACTTGAAAAGTATCTACTCATTCAATCTGTTTTAGTAGGAGAGTGCTTTTGCCTATTGGAACAGAAACAGATAACACAGCCCTATTCCTTTGAGTAATCTATATTACATTACTGCTTCTAAACCCAAGTGAAATCTGTCCCTGAAACAGATATATAGCAGGAAAATTAAGGCAGACAGACATTAAATAACTTGCCTAGAGGCACATGAAGTGATCTGAATCACTAGCATTGTGGATTAGAAGATTTCAGACTCCTAGCTTTGTACCAAGAATGTAAGAATTACCAGACTGGATTTGACCAAGAGGTCCATCCAGCTCTGTATAGATCTGATATTCAGTGAATGCTTAAGAAAAAGTGGAAGTAAGCCCATATTCAGATCAAACAAATTATACGCCTTTCCTTCAATACAAATCCTGAAGCATACCCAGGTTATTTTAGGGAGAACTAACATAATGCAGGGAGCATTTCCAGTAACACTTACGAGGGCTGAACTCCAAAACTAAGGATGGAATGGAATTCCAAAGCAGAGTTCCCCATTTCCTTGTTGGCGAAAGCTGGAAGATTTTGTTTCTCTCCTTCCAGAAAAAGAAAAAAAAATAGATTCACATCAAAAAACAAAGAAGTTGTTATAGTTCTTACAGCAGTCTAACAGAAGTTAAACTTCTTTTTATTTTATACTGCTTTGAAAATAATTGTAAGCAGACCTCACCAGCTAGACTGTCTTCTAACCCTCCTCCTTAAGTAACATATTCTTCTATTCCCAGAAATATGAGAATTAAAAGTAGTGCTTTGCTGGTGAGGAAAAATAATTTTCCTGCATTATAAGAGCGCAAGGAATATGTGGATTCTCTACCTTCTGTTTTCTAAACACTCATACATGTTTTTATTTTGGCCCTTTTAATTTATTTTTTTCTCTTTTTTATTCCATCACAGTCAAGACTCTCAGAATTTAATTAACTCTGGGTATTAGTTGGTGGCTATCCTCTCCAAGTGTACATAATTTTCTTCTACAGGAAGGATAGAAAGAACTTAATAAAAACCAGAAAATCAGTGCCATCAGCTCAGAAAGGGCCATGACTATCTCCAGCTTTATTTGATACTGTCTTGACTGATAGCAAAATGTATTCTTTATTTGAAGTTTTCTGTTGGTATTAGTTAAAACGTGTACTGGCACATTAGATATCCCACAGAATAGCTTCAAAATTAAGATAACAAACCTTTAACATTTTTCACACTGTAGCCCGATATCCTGACTGTGATAATCTCCAGCCACCTAGCCAGCGACAGAATTTGAGCTACTGCCTCTGCATCCTCACTGAAAACAGAAATAGAGAGCAGGTTTTACTTTAACACTCAAAGAATCATCTTATTTTTAAAAACAGAGGACACATTTACATCAAAACTCATTAAGTCTGTATTTGCGCAGTTTTGCTGGCTTTGTAAATTTTGAGCAAAATGTACAACATGAAGTGTCAGGCTAAATACTAGATCTAGGTACTTTCTCATTTGATATCAGCTCAAAAAAAATAGCCAAATAAAAAATGCCCTTTAAAAAAATAAATGTTGACTGTCAAAGCAGTACATTTGGCTGAATAGTCAATAGTGAGATGTGCAGTCTTTTATACAGATTAGGAAGGTCAGCCTGAGTTTTCCTTCCAAAAATGTTAAGAGTCAACCCGCTCCAAAGTAATTTCTCCTTTTTTTTTTTTTTTTTTTAATTAAAGGCTACGGAATCTAGTAATTCACCTGTTTATTTTTTGAGCCTGCAATGGAACAATAGGAATCACAGTATTGCACAGAGATTTGCAAAGTGGACAAAGATACTCTCCGTTCTCCAAGTCAAATATCTGTTCAACATGCAGACGTTGTTGAAAGTTCAGCTGCATGGCTTCAAAGTACCTACAACATTGAAAAAGAAAATTACTAGAAAGTCCAATGGCTCAAATGTGACATGAAAACACATGTTCAAGTAATTAAAAGTGTTATTATCTGTCAAGTACCTATCCAAGCCAACAAACAAGTATTTTCCTTTGATTTACAACTCTCTGACATGCTTGAATGTGAAAATAAAATAAAACCTTTGAACACATACGTAAACTCATGCAAAAATGCATGGTATATACCATTCGTGCAAAAATGATGGGAACTTTTTCTTGCTTTTAAGATTCTTTTAAATTTCATTCACATTTTTACAGACAAGCAGTCCTTAAATTTTCTACTCTTCTCTGACATCATCTTCAAAACAACATAACGTTGTATCTAATCTCTCTCATATACAACTCATTACAGTAAGTTTGAAACAGAGATTGTACATATTTTTATTTAATTTTAGGAAAAACTACTGGTATAATTTAATGAATGAAAAGTTAGCTACTCATGGCAATGACTAAGCCTCATGACTAGACAATGGAACTGTAGCCTTCTTTTAACAGGAAGGGAGGATAATTTATATCACAATATCGCACTTGAGCTATTTTAAACTTAAAGGGAAACTAAGAAATAACTATGATGTTTTTACAAGTTTCATTATAATTTTGCCTCTTCAGTGGATGCAGTAAGCCTTCAGATTTAATTAATGTCTCAGTGGTATTATTAGGAACAAAAAAATCCAACATTCAAATCTTCTTGCCTGGATACAAGCAACCAAATTCAGTACTAATGTTCAGACTGGGTATGTAGGATCTTAAAGACAGATATGAAATTATCCAAGTTCCACACTAAGGTAATAACTAGATTTTTTTTTCCCCCCGCTTTAAATCATACATCTTAAAGGAAAAAAGTAAAATCCCATTTACGTAATAAGAGAAAGTGTGCATGCGGGGGCACCTGCAGCAGTTCTAATGATTACAGAATATTTAGGAAAGTACTCTGTTACAATCAACAAAAATATACATTTATTATCCCCACATTAAACAACTTTGTTTTTGCAAACATCTCCTCTTCCTCATACATGGCAACAACAAAGATATTCCATTCATTTGAACTTGTACTGTTTTAGGGAGTATTTTGCAGTAGTTTTAGGCTGCACAGATACTCTAGAAAGGTGTGGCAGGCATCGTCTGGAGGAATATTAGTAAGTTAGAATATCTGTTATGTAATAAATAAAAGACTATACTCAAACCTTCTGTGCCATCCCGTATGAGAAGAGCCTGTTGTCCATTTTAATCCCATTTACCCATACAGCAAGTCATCTTTTCTTAAAAAGAGCAAGGGAACTGAGCTCCACTGTTGCACTACTTAGATCTACGCAGATGTAGATGGATCTGCCAAGAGCAGATGTATTATACTCAAGGAACATACTTCCGTATCGTTTTAAGTGTGTGCACCTATTTATTCTGTACTGATGTTTTCTTGTTAAAAAAAAATATACATGTAGAAAAGTAAATTATAAGCACTAGAAGTTTAGTCAGATTTTTTTTTTTTTGAAGTAAAATGGCACAAGTACAAACAACAAACCTCAAGAGATTGTTTATATCATACAACAATATAAAGTAGCTTGCAATTGCATGACCCAACTCTCTATCTGTGATAATACTTCAGTGGGATTATTTCTATTATTATTTCACACTATTTATCTTGTTTAGACTTGCCAGACCTATGTGGAGTCAAACACAGAGAGCATTAGCTTTGCTCTCTGTAATCCTACAAATGTAGCTGCAACCAGGATGATTATATTCTGCAAGCTAAGTAATTTGGTTTTTATATTTCAGGTTGCACTCTAATCCAACACACTTGGTCTAAACTGGTCTAAACTATGGGCTCCCCCAAACAACAGAAATGCAGTCAAGTTTTTAAGCACTGTATCAATTCTTCCCTCTTACTTTTTATTAAGTGTTTGTTCACCAATAAGGGAGGGATGGAGGGTGGGGAAAAAATATTGGTAGACTTAACCATTCATAGTCTATTCTAAATGCCAGATTCTCATCTAAAGACTCGCTGGAATAAGTCAGCTTCATCCTTTAAGTACTAACCTGGTGACAGACTTTCTGTGTCAAAGTACTGTTGCTATAGAATGCTCACCTGGAAGATTCCTACTGGTTCTCATTGGATTGCTAAAACTAAACCTACTAGATATGGTTTCTTTTTCTTGATCAATTTTACCCCATTGGTTTTATTTGCATAAATTAGTAACTCTTAGAGATTTTTCTTTGGATTGTAGAAGGCACTAAAAATTTTTGATGATGATTTCCTTCATCAGGTCAAAACTTCTCTGGTGCCATATTTAATTTTTAGATGAGTACAAATAGTTTTGACTCCTTAATTAAATATCTACTTACTGTACTGTGTTTTCAGTGTACACTTAGATGTTTTGGAAAATAGATTAATTTAAAAAAAACCACATTAAAAGGCTGCAAAGAGACATATCCTTACTTCTGCCAGCAGGCTGCATGCATCACATGTCCACAGCTTCCTGTGTGGGTCCCACAAGGTAAGTCAGGGTGCATGAAAAGAGGATCTAGTGTATCTAGAAAGACACAGCAGAAAGAAATTATTGAAAGAACAATATAACGTAACTTCCCATCAATACGAACAGAAATGAATGACAGTATACACAGAATGCAAGCCTTCAGATTTTATTTTCCCCACAGTTTGCACATTAAAATTCCGCTTGACTAGCTTTTCCAGACCAATACTCCAGCAAAGTATCACAAAGATGAAGCCCACTTAAACTACTGAAAGCTTTCTACTAATTTTGAAGAAAAAGACAACAAAATCTAAAAGCAATAGTAAATTGGTTAAAAAAGAAAAAAAAAAAGGGTTCTTCAGTAGTAGAATAGCTCTGTGATTGGATTTACTATCACTGAAGTTTTTAATGTGCTTGTTATTGTGTTTTTAAATGAAGGAAAATGAAACTACTAAGGACAAGAAAGATTACGCATTTCTCCAACTAATCCAAACTGTCGACATGAACAACACTGCTGAATAACAAAGTCTATCTTTTACTAATCTTGCAAAATACTTAACAGCAAAAACATTGTGAGAATGTAACGGTGTCTTTGTGCTGCATATGCACTCAAAGCGAGATTCCATTTTCCCCTTAAAGATATTTAATAATACCAAACTGAGCAACAGCAGTCCTCCAAACCTCATGTGGTGGACTGTTTATGATTTTGAACAGATACACCTGAATTTGACAAAATGAAAAAGAAAAAAGAAAAGAAAAACCACAAAAAACCTACCACCCAAATTGCACTGAAAATATAATTCTATTTGACAGCAGCTGAAGCTGCTCTAAATCAAATAGAGACTGAAATAAGAGAGTGAACCTTGGTATAACACTGATTTGCCACTATCTGCACTTCTGTGGGAACAAGTTATTTTTCCACTTATTTAGATGTCCAAAGGAAAAAAAGCTCTCACAGGCCTTCTTCTAACTGATGAGCTGCAGAGGACCACACAGTAGAGAATAAGTGCTATAAATAATATCCAGAAGTGGCTTTAGGAAAAGGAATTTCATTCCCTTCTTTTTTCAATTATTTCAATAGCCCACCATGTCACTGCAGAAAGCTTACAAGTGTATCTGACTACAAGAGCATAGGATTTAATTTGTACTTCAGAGTACCACAGAAGAGAGCAAAAAGAAGGATGCAATTACTACCTGGCCTGGATAAAAATTTTATACAGCTGGCTCAAAATTGCCATTATCAGTAGTTCGCTGTTAAAAAGAACAATGGATCAAACAAGAGTCTGTTCTGGGTCTAGAACTATTCAGTATTTGTTAATGACCCAACGGAGGAAACACAAAACATCTTATTAAGTGAAACAACTTCGTAAAGGTTTGCAAGCATGACAGAGAATAGGGTAATATCCTATAGAAATAAAAAGCAATGCTGAACTTCCCTTTGCTTTAGAATTCTATTTGATAACATTCAAGAGCATCCTTCTAAACTAAAGCAGGAATAACAAACTGTACAAAGTTTAGGGCTATTTGCTAGACAGTAACATTATTTTAAAAAATAGGACATAGTGTTCATTTTGCTCTATGAGTCGTTCACTAATCAACAATACCTTGTTATAAAACAAAAAAACCCCCCATATTTAAAAATAAGTAGGAATTTAAACTACAAGTGGTAACATCCTTGCCATGCAAAGGTAACAAACTAAAAAACATCTTGAGAGCACTTACAGACCTCCAGTTTTATTATCTTTCAACACTATGGGCAGATACATAGACAATGTATATTGATTAATAAATATATAACAGATAACAGCAATTAAAATTTTTATCTGTGTTAAAATAAATATAATTCAATTTACAGGGAAAAATATCACTTTTAACTTTTTATTATTATTTTAATATTATAGTGTGCTTGAATCAAACAGGTAGTTTTATGATGAGATATATATTCCCCTTGGGGTGATTTCACCCAAACAACATTTGCCTAGGCCATGTATCAAGTAGAACAGAGTCAAAAATTCTAATAAACATGAGAACGAATTAGCTTACATTCTCCTTACCCACAAAACCAGTTATCCTGGTCAAAGAATTAGGGTGGCTTACTGAGTTCCTTTCTTGACAAATCCATTTTTGACATTTCTTACTGTTTTATTGTCTGTCTTTGTTTTTTTATCTTGTCTTATAAAATAATAATAATTACTAACATCCAACATACTTGTTGGCTGGGTGGAATACTTGAATTTTTAGTACTTTCTCATTTCACTTCCTGGGGGTTGTTTTTGTGGATATTTTAGACAAATACTTGTTTGCCCTTAGCCTGCTGAGATCTCAATTATCTTCTATGCATTTTAAAAAATAAATAAAGATTACACTGAAGACAATGGTTTTGATAGTACTTTCAATATTATTTTAATATTTGCCAAGGTGATAACACTGAAGTTATCTAGATATTGTTTCAATTTTTCTTATATTATTTTGGACTGCATTTCTCTCTTGTTAAAATTAAAAGCCATCAAGCATCTGACCGTGAATTATAATCAATTTTCTTTTTCAAAAAGAAAGCTAAAAAGTCAGGAAGTACTAAAGTTTTCCCTTTTCCTTCTATCTATTTTCTATCTTAAGTAACTGACCAAAATCTTTCTCATGTTTAATCAGCTGTTACTCACAAAAAAAATTCTGGTTGGTCTTTGTGTTTCCTGCTACCAATATGCTACCATTCGGCTCTAACTCTTGTGTTTGTATTATTCTCTTGTATTTTTTTTTTTTCTATTCATCAGATGCTATCATATGATCCTTTCTTGTGCTTTTCTATTTTTTTATGTTGCTGTTCTTATAGCTTCCTAGATATGAAAAAAACCAACAAAAACCCCCAAACCCTCCTGAGGCTGCCATACTGGCCTCTGATAATGTTCATGTATTTGGCCATACTGGGAAAGTTTGTTGCTGTACTCAAATAAACAGGAACTGTTAACATTCTTGGATTTTTCCCCAGAGTGACCACTCCTATCAAATCTGTAAGGTCTGTAAAGCATTTTCTGATTTCCCAGAGACAAATCAAAATCTTCATACACTTCTCATTTTTAAGTTTTAAAGCATGGGGTTTAGAACGATTTAAAAAATTTAATTTTCTCTTTATTAAGTAGGGTAAGCCACTTAGCAAATCTGACTGAATACAGAGTTTAATTAGGTTCAAAACGTATGAGCTCTAGGTACAGAAATGCTTGTTGTCAAAAAGAAAAATCACATACCCCCTGAGAGTTCAAGAATTCTGCGCCTATTCTGAGTTAAGGCAGTTGATTTCTGGACACAGGCAGATAATACCATGGCAGCACTTTCCAACTTTACTTCCTGCTCCTCCTGGCAAAGAATACAGGTCAGAACTTCTTTCTCAGCAACAGATGGACCTCGTTTGGGACCCAAAGCGATTTTAGAGTAATCAATAGCCAAAGACATGCTGTAAGACCATAAGTGACACAGGTTAAAAAAAATCAGATGGATTTTTCTAAACAAACTTACTCTTCCAGACATATAAAAATGTCATATACTACTAACATTTCTGATTTTATACCAAAGTGCTTTACAAAACCAAATGATGACCAAACAATGAAGAAACACCTCAATCCTCACTAAAATGCAGTATTCTTTAAAAACAGGAAGTGGAAGCCAGTTAACAGAGAATAACACAATGAAATGGATTCAGACAGCACGAAATTCAGGAAGCTGTATTCAATGTAGATTGGATTAACTATACTTTAGTCTTACAGACACATTAAAATTGTTTCTCATTCTTGAACAAAACATACTGAAAATGAATGCCACCACCTTAATTCAATGCTTTGTGACTGTCCTGGTTCCAGCTAAGATAGTCGATTTTCTTCCCAGTGGCTGGTATAGTGCTGTGGTTTGTATTTAGGATGAAAATTACATTGATAACACACTGATGGTTTAGTTGTTGCTAACCAGCGTTTACAATTAAGTCAAGGACTTTTCAGCTTCCCAGGTCCTGCCAGCGAGGAGGCATGACCCTTCCACAGGAGGTGCATGAGAAGCTGGAAGGGGGCACAGCCAGTACAGTTGACTCAAACTGGTGAAAGGGATATTCCATACCATATGATGTCATGCTCAGTATATAAGCTAGAGGAAGTTCGCTGGGGGGCAGTGATCACTGCCTGGGCATGGGCTGAGCATCGGTCAGCGGGTGGTGAGCAATTGCATTGTGTAGCACTTGTTTTGTATATTCTACTATTATTTTTTTTTCTTCCTTAGCTGTTCTATTAAACTGTCTTTATCTCAACCCACAAGTTTTACTGTTTCTTCCATTCTTCTCCCCATCCCACCTGGTGGGGGGGAGTGAGCGAGCGGCTGCATGGTGCTTAGTTGCCGGCTGGGGTTAAATCACAACAGTGACACAATAAGCTTCCATTGTATTTTTTTAAATATTCCTTATTCCAGAGTTCAACAACGATTTATAGAACACAATTTATTAACGATGAAAGCACAGAATTTATTTGTACTCTTTTTTTCAGCAGATATCTTTATTTTCCTTATTACTTTTGTGCAGCCCCAATTAGACCAAAATTGTGAGTTGTATTAGGTATACTATATTGTTGAAGCATCTCTAGAACAGGAGCAATCCATACCAACAAAACTATAACCAATATAAACCAAACATCTTCAGTATGAAATTAGATTTTAAAAACTAACAGAAATATCAGCAACTTGAGCTACAAGAAGCATATTTTCTTTATTGCAACTTAACCTTAAGGCATATATATTGGCTTTCATATTCTTTCCAAATTAAATATTTAAATTTTCATATAAGGTAGACAATCACCTCCAAAATTACAGTGTTGTCAACTCAGCAGCTTTTTAATGACTTTTTTCAAATGTTAAGCAATGTTAAGTATCCACCATTTGAAGAAATAATTAATTTTCTTATCATTTATCTGATGCTGCTCTACAAAGTGAGTCCACTGTTCTTATATTAGCATATGCATGCTAGCTTACATGTAATTCTGTAACAGACGATTACTTAGAAGTAAAGACAGATACAAGTTTGCTGACTGGAATGACACAATCTGCCCCTTGAGCGAACTGACAAAATTTTTATGTAGCATAATGAACTTATGTAGCAGGTAACGAACTCTTCCCATCAGAACTCGGGATGCCTTTTTTTTTTCTTACCTTTCTTCCTCCATAATAGCATCTCCTTTCCCCTGTGCTTCCAGTGTGTTTTCATACAGGAGCTTATGGGTTTCAATGAAATTCCTCTGCAGTGCAGACATCTGGGCCATTATCTTCTGACGGTGCAACCTAGCTGCTTCTGCCTTTCTCTTCCGCTCAGCTTTCTCTTTATCCTGAGTGTTCTGTGTCTTACAATCAAAGAGAATAAAGAAATCACAGGCAATAGAGAACATCAAAAAATGAGAATAATCTTTTCCCAACTATATGCATTCTAACCACTGACATCAAATTCCTTAACTGACAACACTAAGTAAAAAATAACTGGTATCTGAAAAATGTAAAACTAAAATCTAGGTTCATTAACCTAGTCAGAAGATATTTTGAGGGCTCCACCAAAGGTCACTAGTACAATCCCTTGCCCAAAGGTAGGGTCAATAATACCTGATCCATTTTAATTAGGTGCTTGTCTGTTCTTAAGAAACTTTAGTGAGGTAAACATCACAAGCCTCCTCCAGTGTTTTGTTATTCCCCTCATAAGCGAAACACCCACTGAGTATTCTGTATTCCCCTAACAGCAATTTGAGACAATTTTATCTTGAACTATCTACGGACAGCACAGCAAACAGATTGTTCTTACATTTTTGTGGCAGCATTTTAGGCATCTGAGGACTGTATTTTCCCTTATTCTTTATTATAGACTGGAAAATTAATCTTCTTCCAGTATTTCCTCATCTATCATGTTTTCAAAAACTAGAAACAAAGTGTTTATATGCTTTGGAAATTCCAAAAAAACAGGTAGACTTAATTAAAACATACAGAACCTAATTCCTCTTATTCAGTTACTTAAGGCACAAATTCAACATAATGCACATTGCTTCCATTCACGATACCATTACTTTTTTGAGGAAATGAAACAACAAATTGCTCCACAAGTAGTGGAGCTATAAGAGTCTCATTTCTTACTGACTTTTTTATTTTGTTCCCTTACCTTACCAGATACCATATGACACCTTTCTCAAAAAAGAAACACAGCATATGCTGTGATAAGTTTAGAGCTATGCATGCAATGACTAGCCAAGAAATTGTTTGGCAGCAAGCTGTTGCCAAACAGAATATGTAAGAGCAAACTAGTTTGTCTTTGCACACTATCTAAGAGTAATTGTATTATTCTTTCTATTCAACTGCCAGTTTAAAAAACCAAAACACCTCACTGGACTCCAGTAATCTTTGAAACCTCCATTTCAACATGTCATTTCATCACTGGATTCAAAAGTTATTCTGAGGGAAGGGGGTAGAGACTAATACACAGACAGAATAATCATCTAAGCCCTCTGTCTTTACACAATCACGGCAAAGCAGAGCAGATTAACCTCTTCGTAAGTCACATAAATTACAAGACAATTTTAAGTGGATTTGTATTTCTAATTATTGCACAATGACAATAGAAAAGGTGATCAAATCATAAAGATAAGAAATGGAGAAATGAACACAAATTACTTATTCACCCCTCAGTTGTTTCACTTAACTTGAAAGTACAACCAAAACCACTGCTGCTAATTCCATGAAACATGCTTAGCACTAATATTTTTAATAAATGAAATTTATCTTAGAACCAAAATCCTATTTGTAGACAATATATCAGAAATTAGTATTTTAAAAGTGATCATTTTATATAACTATAAATTTAGGTACTGTTTTGAAAATAGTCATTCAAACATTAAATACAAGGCTTTCATTGAACTTTTCAATTATTACCTCATCACCTTTTGTAGCTTCTGAGCCTGATGTAGCTGCTACTGTTGTCAAACTAGATTTTTCTCTCAATCTTTTCACTGTGTCAAACATCTAGGAATAGAGACTTAGATGTTAAAAATAAAATGCAACTTGGCTCTTACTACAATATAGACAGAATTAAAGCTCTTGATATTTAGTTTCATGGTTTTTTTCAGATTTTCAAATGGATTAAACCAACTGCCATACTCCTAAATAACAAAAACATCTGAGACCATACGTGCACTCCTGTAACACTGCTGTGTCTGCATCCTCAACCTGACAAGCACTGCTCAGTATGAAGGAAAGTAAAATTCTTCCAAATTTCCCAGCTTCTAGCACTAATACTGCTAAGCAGCTATAGCACCTCTACATCAGAAGAATGGTCAGAGACTGCTAGCTTATTTCAAGTAGGTGAGATGTAGATCATCCCATGGAAATAGTCACTAGAATTATGCAAAAACCTATACATCTGGAACAGAGAGCTTTCCAGCATATGCCCAGTTAGGTAAAACTGAGCCTTCAATTTTCATTTACTACTTTCTCCAGCTATCTTTAATAAGCATCTTGAAGTTTTGATAATATTAAATATTCTACATTTACTACACGCATCATGAAAAAGTTAAATATACTTTTTAAAGTACATTTTTACTTTTGCCCTTAGAACTTTAGAATAACTTCTCCAAAGAAAATTTTCAAACCTGCCTCCCTAATGTACCAGAATAGTCCAATTTTAGTAGCTGAGGATAGTTTTGGAACCCTACTATGGATCCTTACCCTCTTTTCCAATAGCACTGTCTTCTGTGTTTGCCACCTAAAACAAGAAGCCACTTAAACAAGAAGCCCAGAATGGAACAGGACAGTAGCGCTAAGCAGTGGTACTAGGACAATTCCTGCAAAGCAGAAGCAGCAGCCTCCTATGTTAGAGGAGGCGTCATAGCTCTAGAAGTTTTTCTCATCTCTTACTGGGTAAGGGCAGGGAGCTGGATTGAAAAATTCTACAGGTCAAATGTACAACGTGGCCATCAGTCAGATTCATATGACTCAAGTCTTAATACAAGCAGCTTCTAAAAAGCCTTCCCAATTAATAAACTTTTATTTATCACTTGCTGTTATTTTATATAAGGAATAAAGTTTATGTATAAAAATGTCACTACTGGAATGCATTACCTAGCAAAAATTGACCCAATACTTGAAAGCAGCAATAGCAAATACAATGATTGTATTAACACAGTATTCAAGAAACCTCATCTCATCTGGGGGAAAAAAACGTTCCAACCAATTAAGCTTCTCAGGAAATCACTGCAGTTGTAAACAGTGAGTTATATGCAGGAATCATAACATCTTTCATAAGTGCTTTCTACATTACTAAAATCAGATCATACTTATCTCCCCCTTGTGTACCTGCAGTATCCAATTGACTGTGTCCTTTTGTGCCTCTAACTGAGGAACTCTCTTTAATTTTTCCAGAAGCATTAGCACATTCACAGCATTCAAGGCCGAGCTTCCCATTCCTTTACAAAGGAGAGAAAAATAGAAAAGCATGGGTCTTCAGGGGAAAAAAAACCCTCAACATTTTACTATATTTACAATCATGGACATGCCTTAAAATATTGCTAACTATATAACACACGTACATGAACATAACCTGTGTAGTTACATTGCTGTTTTAATTTCATCTGCTTATTCCAGTTAAATGTAGTATAAACTTTCCCCCTCGTACATCAATAATTTTTGCTACTTCTAAAAGCAGAAGTACGGAAAAAACCAGAATTGCCTTTCACTTCAAGGAGATGCAGTAAAGCTCTTACAGCTTACATAAGTTTTCTAACAGCTCCATGTGCACAAGTTTATTTCTATCATAAAAACCATTACAATTACAGTAATTATTTGCTTCCTCACACCTTGGTAGCAGTTCATAATGTTTTAGGCCATTGTCTAACACAAGCATGCTTTAAAATTGAGACCATTCTCTTCAATTACATTTCTTTTGCAGTATTTTCCATTTGAAATTAATGTGCACAATTTTAGAAGTGAGACAAATATGTTACAAAACATTTTTTTAAAATCACTTCTCAATAAGAGTTTTCTTACAAAAATACTGATTATCTCTGCATCCCTTATGTATAAATGAGGCTTTGGTTTTTCTGGTTATGCAAAACGAAAGCTGGCAAAGAATTCTCTACCATCTTAATTGTAATTACTTTCAGTGTATTCCTATACACTTCTTAAACAGAAATATGTTCAGTGTGATGATAGTATTTCTCCTTGCTCAACAGGAAGAAAAAATTAAAAATAAAAAACATGTGAAATGGGAGTGTTTTTCAAACTCTGTGACACCTCTTTACACAACACTTTTGAAAAAACTAAATAAAGGTAGTTCAGTAGCTTTATGTATTTACTTATGTAGGAGGTATTTAAAAGATGCGTAGATGTGGTGCTTAGGGACGTGGTTTAGTGGTGGACTTGGCAGTGCTAGGTTAATGGTTGGACTCGATCTTAAAGGTCTCTTCCAATCTAAAAGATGTTATGATTCTATAATTTTGCTTCACAATCCTTATCTCTGTTTCATCTCTCAAGTGACAATTATGTTTATCTTGATAATGGAATTTTTACTTATTTATTTTTACACAGTGAAGCAGAAACTCTAGATAAAATGGAAGATTATTTAGAAAATGTAGATTCTGACTCACATTCACTAGTCTTGAATGTAAGATTAGGAAGTGCTGTGTAGGGACTTGGAAAAGTAAAGAAAAAGAAGGAAAAACAAAACAACAACAACAAAAAAATCACGCTTCATACCCACTAAGTTTTGCTTCTATTATGACTACCACAGTAAAAGACTTTAACTTGCAGGTAGATAAATAATTGCACAGCTCAGGAGTACAAGAGATGGAGACAGCACATAAATACACTGTCATTTTTCAAGGAGTTCTCAATTTCCATTTCATAATGGTCTTGCGAAGGAAGAACCGTTTTCAGTTACTTAACGCTAGTATTACTCTTCCATTTCTTTCCCAGGAAGAGAAGCACATCTGGGAACAAAGGAGGCTAGTCCAAATCTGTTTTCTTGATTAGTTTTTAAAAAAATATTTTAGCAGGTTTTAATTCTATAGCAAAAAGTAAATCTTTTCTGACTAAAATCACTGAATACTTTCTTCTAGTTTATTTTTTGTCCTTAGAAAATCAAGTTAGCCTAACTTACTCTGCCCTTTTAAAGAAAATGAAACATACGTGTTGCTTTGTGATAAAAATCAAAGGTTACTTCTTCTTCTGGAGACTTCTGTAACTGCTGCTTCTCTTCTAGTAACCCTAAAGAAAGGAGATGAAGCACCTAAAAAAAGAGGAAAATAGTAAATCTCATTCACTGTTAGAGGTCTGGAAAGCTGGCACATAAAATAAGGATGTTTAATATAGTTCTGCACTGTATGCTGATTATATCCATGACACAACACAGAAATGAGGAAAAGTGTAGAAATTGTACATGGAAAGTGAAATAATGCAGAATATAATTTCCTTGCATATTACTTGCACTAAAACTAATAAACTTGCGCACACTTTACATTAATAACATATGAATCTTGTCATTTTGCTGATAGAAATCTATGACTATTTGGTTAATTCTATAATCCAAAGATCAGCAGGTAAGGCAAGGCAAATAAATCATCTATGCATTCTAATTAACAAAACTGATTAATTCAACCACTCTGTAAATTCAGGACCTAATCCCATAAATATTTAAAAAAAAAAAAAAATCAACAATGTCAGTAATTTATATTTTTTTTTAAGCATAAAGTCACTGTGGTAAAATGAAATGTTTCAACACTTACAAAATGATATTATTTCATGACTGAGACTCCGAAGACATTTACATATTTGGAGACTTTGCAGCTTACAAAATGAAGCAACTCAATTTCTTTAAGATGATCAAAGGGTTACTTATTTGCACATGACATTTCAAGAAAAAGATGAGGTAAGGAGAATTACATATTGAAATGGCTCCAGTGATGAGGCAACACAGAGGGGAAAGCAAAATAGAAAACTAAAGAATATTCCCAGTTTAATACTATTGTGTTTCACATTTCTATTTTACAGTGGAGATAAAGAGTTAGATTTTTTTTTTTTCCAGTAAGATTTATAAAAACAGGTTTGGGGACAAAAAGTAAATTCTTATCATTCCAAGTTAAAGTTTATCTTTACGCATTTTGATCTTATCATAAGCAGTTAACATGGTCAACACAGGAATGAACACAGGAAGACGAACAAGCTAACCATACCATTTGGATCATAGCTTCAGTCCACAAGTGGGTTTCCAGTTCTACTGCTCTCTGAAGAATGGTCCGCAGTATGTGCATCATAACGTCACAGTTCAGAATCCTCACCACATTGCTGAATGCAGGACTGAAGTCTGGAGGAGGTGGCGGCGGCAATGCTAGAAGACGGAGATATGCAAATGTATTAACAAACTGGCATCTCAAAGATTGCAGGCAAAAAGTAGAGAGCACAAACATACTAATTCCAGTGATAGAACAGCTAGACCTTCAAATTAATAAAGCTACGCTTAAACACAATTGTTCACCTAAGTCAGCTTTTATCTTTAGCAAAACTAAGTACTTTTACTAAGTTCTTACATAACACGCGTGCAAACTAAGCTAAAGAATCACAAGTACTTAATTGTATCTGTAAATGCAAATCTTTAACACTTTGCACTGCCTTATAATTTATGTATCACTAATAAACATAGAGTGTTTGTGTTTTGCATCAGATATAAATATTTCAAGTAGTTAAACAAGAGTAAGCAGTGGATATTCCAGAGTGCGGTGTCTCACATGACAGTGTCCCATGCCTAATAAGACTGGAGCTCTACATTCTTGCTGCTACTGGGGCATTCTGATAATTTCTAGTTATGTACGCTTTCTGAGCTAAAATTGGAACTGTGAGATGTGGTGCCTCACCTAGAAGCCACCTGGTGTCTTGGCACCTACTAACATCAGCAGCTCAATTAACACCGCAGCCTGTCCCTACCTGGAAGCATTGACTTAAGTCTTCTTTTGGTACCTGGATGCCTATTTTCAGAAAACTGTGAATGCAGTCTCTGAAACTATCAATCTTTTGACAATTTAGACTGAATGAATTATAGAAAGTTACTGACCAAGACAACACAGCCACATAAAAGCATATGCATGGAGTATTTGCAACAAAATGGGTAGCCTCAGGGGAATACACATCAATGTAAACAGTTATCTTTGTATTTTGGAACTGTATTATATGATTACATAAACATGAGTTTCTGAAAGTTACATCTAAATATTTGCACTTTTAAAGAGTTCTACAAAATAAACATCTCTGCTAACATTTTAAGTTGCTAAAGTGAGCAAGGGGGAAAAAGAGAAATTAAGTACTATTGAAAATCTGTCAACTGTATAAAATAAACAGTGGAGGAAGAAACCAAAAGTAATCCAAAGATTTTTTTTTTCTTCCTATTTTCCAGCTGTCATAATCTTCTGAGTTACTTACAACTGAAGGAAATTAATTGTTTTCAAAGAGAATGTGGTATCTGATTTAACGTGTCCCTCCTAAATGACAGTGCCAATTTATTCTTTTTTAGTTCCACAGTTTTTCAACTGAAAGGAACTCAAAGTAAATAAAATTTACTCAGAATGAATTTTAACCATCTTGGGTATGAAATGGTGTAGTGCCCCAACTGTACACAAAAATCGGAACACACTTTCAAGTAGGAAGCAAAGATTAAGGTATTCAAATGGAAGGGCAATCTGGAAAGAGAAAAATAATTTTCTGTTGCAACTCACAAAATCAGGTGATAGCTGATTTTTTTAAATTGTTCATTGTACTTACTCATTCATCTTACAAAGTCTTCCTCAAATCAACTCAATTAATGCTCTTGACTTGAATGGGTAAAAGTAAACTCAAAAAGGGAAAAAGCATTTGTGTTACAACAGAAACATGGGGTTTTATTGTTACATGTATTTGCAGCTTCTAAAAAAGAAAATTTTGATTTATAAAACTTAAGTCTCAAGCCACTTACAGAATGCCTATGAGCACTAGTTCCTCCGGCAACCTTTTCTACATGACATTATTATGTCTCAACATTGTGCTACTCACAAAAAATAAACTTTTGGCTCCTAGTTAGTCCATCATAAAAACTCTTAAGTTGTTCACTTTGTCAACGTGTACTATGCCATGTTTATTTGTCTACATGGAAATCAAACTAAAGATTCCAAAACTCCTATCTTTTTGTGTTAAAAAAAAGAAGAAAAAAAAAAGAAATGTCAGGTGCTAATTAATTACAATTAATATAAGTCGCAACAAATTTCATATGAAGTCAACTATCCACGATTAAGTCACAAGACGTCTCCCAAAGCTCATTTTATATGCACATCTACATACACTACTGAATTATCATATTTGTTGAGTCATCAGTTTCAATTTTTTACCTTCATCTCTGTTTTCTTGTTTTCTTCTTTTCTTTTGTGTATGTTCAGCCTACAGAAAAAGTAATGTTGTTATATCAGCATGTCTACAGAAGTACGCAATGAAACAATGAGAAATCCTAAACTAGAAATGTGGCAAGATACACGCCAATACTTGGTGATATAATTAGAATCTTGTCTTAAATTTGTTTAACAACATAGTATTTTGCATTTAAATTTGCAGTAGAGATATATAATTGGACATACTTGCTTCCTCAGTAAGAGTTATAAAACCAAAGTTTGGGGGTTTCCAGTTCAAAGATAATCCTTATTATATTTTGTTCTTAGCACAAACAGTTAACAGAGCTAACAATAGAAGTCACCATAAGAAAATACTAATGCAAACCATACTACATCAATTTGTATTAACAATCTTAACTTCATTGGAAGTTAAGTTTTGAAGTTAGCTGCATATACTCTTTACTGAATATGTTTCTTTAGATTCCATTAATTCCTTTGATTCAGCAAAATTCTTTAGACACTGATAAGTATGTACTGGTTTTTAACCTTTGAGAGTGAATCTTACACTGCTTACCTTGCTGTGCTGAGTCTTAGTGTAATGATAAAAGAACATATTGAACTCCTTCAAGCACTCATCTTTCAGTTCATAAACTCCATGGCCAGACACACCCGGTTTCCTTTCAGAGAAATATTTCATGACATACAGATTAATAATCTATGTTCAGCACATTTTTGAATGTAAACAAACCAGTAACACAATTTATTTTCTAAGGAAGTGCTAATAAGAAGTGGAATAATGATGGTTGCTTCATTAACTTATAAAGAGCATAGAGGGAGTACAGTTATCAGTCTTTAATTTTCAAGACTGTTTACTACTGGAAATCCTACTCAGCAGCAAAATATTTCTAGTCTATACCATCTACAGCACACCATATAGCCTCCGACAGGTAAATTCTTTTTAACCTTATGGCTTAGAATTTCAGACGTTGGATGTTACTGCATAAAATTCATTACTTTCTTTAACCAAGGTACAAAACAAGTAATACAAAGAGCTACTTTCCAGCCAGTGAGATGGTTTTTGAACCTTCCGTGTAATTCCCAAAGCAAAATTCCTACATACACCTATAGTTGCCCTTGATCAAACAAACGAGTCACATGAAATTTAAAATAAAGTATACTAAAATCATTAAAATTACAAGGCATTTTTGTGACAAAAATAGCAGTCATTTGAACTAATTTTTCTCAACTGCTACAATTCATTGTTCCAAGTTTGCATATATGTGTGTGTGTTAAAAAAATTAACTCCCATCTGAAAGTTACAGCAAATTAGCAACTAAATAACATCTAAACCAAAGATTAGGTAGTGATTGTCAAAGGTACAATGAGTTGTTAAGGGTCCCAGCCATCTTTGAAATAAAATGAAATTCTGAAGGTTTTCCCACTAAGACTTGAGATTACTAAACTCTTGAGACTCCTCAAACTGGGTTTGAAGAAAGAAGGGGGCAAAAGAAGAGAAGCAGCAGATTCGGATATTCCGTACACTTTCCTATGCATATTTGAAAGTATATATATTTCAAGACAGCAAAATATTAGCTGAAGAGAGACTGTGTAGTGCAGCTTGTTTATAATTAATACAATCCTATTCCACATTTAAGCTACTTATAAAACAATTTAAGAACTTACTTAAATGTAGCCACTTTATCAATTACATTCTCCAAGCCAGTTTCATTGTTCTCCTGGTAAAAAAAAATTAGTTTGCGATAAAAATATATAATGATCCAAGTATCTTCAGTATTATGCTAAATATAACAATAGACATACAGATTTTGATCAATTCCCTAATTCATGAATTAATATATTTTTCCCACTGTTATTCAGAAAGCAGATACTGACAAGTTACAAGGAAGTACCAAAGACAGATAATTCTTTAATTTAATCATGTAAAATTTTATTTATAACAGAGCTAATCTCCAGAAACAGAGCAGTCCCTTAC